GGGGGTGCGGGGGGGGCAGTGGGAGGCGTGGGAAAGGGAACTGTGTGATGGAACCGGCGCACCGTCCGCAGGGTGTTCGTGAGGGATTTGCTGTGTTGTGGGCTGGTTTCCCCTCCACACAGAAGGGAGAGAAAGCCGCTCTTTACCTGGCGAGAGATTAACAGACACTGCCACGGAGCAATAGCTCCATGTCTTAAGGGCAAGAAAGACTCCGTTTGGGAATCCGATGCGATGGAGGGTGTTGGAGGGAATGGGAGAGGACTGTGCTGTGCGCTGGAAAACAGGGCTGTGTAAGTGATGGAGTGAACGCTCAGCCGGAGGCGAGACCGGGGAGAGGGTATGAGGTCTGTTTAGTAAATGGGTGAATCTGGTGCCTTTTTTTCTTTTTTCTTTTTTTTTTTAAGTGAAGTCGGTCAGAATTGAAAAGATCAGACCATGAAAATTGCTGCACTTGCTCATGGTTCTTGAAAAGAAAAGTGTTAATGAAATAAACACCGATGTCAAAGGCCTTACTGAAATCCAAACAACTTCCTTTCACCTTCAAGATTAAAAATGTACACCCCACGCGGCCTTGAGTGGCCTGGAGGTTGTGATGAGGTTTTTCCAGTCCCTTTAAGGTCAAAAGGATGAGGGCATCTTAACTGTAGAGAGCCTTTCGCAAGCCAGCGAAGGCTGGAACCTACAAAATCATGGAGAGAGAGAGAGAGAGAGAGAGAGAGAGAGAGAGAGAGGGAACTCTCTTTGGGTGGCACATTCTAAAGACGCAAATCCATGTGCAGAAAGAGGCGGCATTTTTTAGTTGATTTTTTTTTAACCAAGTGCCATTAACATTCATCCTCCACATCCCTTTTCTAAATAAGCCTAGTGTTATTTGAGGAATGTGTTGGGATGGACGATCACATGTAAGGCAGGAAAAATAGGCTAAAAATGTTGAAGGCCAAAGGTAGGACTAGAGGGTTTGCGGAAGTGGTTTTTGGATGCGAAGGACGTTAAAGAGGAGAAAGGCGACGGCACCACGCATCCCGTGGAGAAATAAGAAAGCATTCGGGTCTGTGCAGAACACATGCATAGAGACGGCGGTGGTTCAGAAACCAGATTGTGAATACAATCACACTAGCATGACTCCTTTAAAAGGAAGACCTTAAACGTATTTGCAAATCTGAATTTCTATTTATTCCTTCACTGAATATAGAAACAATGGTTATCTGATTATTAGAGATATTATTTTGGATATGTTACTTATTAACTTGCTATGGCTGGTAACCATGATAAAGTCTGTTATTAATAACAACATATTCTTTTTTTAAAAAAGAAAAGAAAAGCTTATTTTTATTGACTGTATAGATTTATCTACTTAGTTGTGTTTTGCTCTTAGTGTTTCAATTTTTTTTTTTTTTAAGTTGAGTGTTCTGATCAGTTTTAGGAGCCTAGCCCCACTTCGTTTCGAGTCCTGTGTTGACTGCAGGTATACAGCTCAATTTGAAAATCCTAAAGCAAAAGAGTTTTATTTATAAAAGAGTCAAACAGTTGCATGCGTGAGGCTGTGACGTCGGATGTTTAGTACTAACGCGGCAGTGCCTTTTTTGTAACTACCCATTGACCCACAGATGCGACTGTTTTATATTAATAGTAAACATTCAAGATCTCTGAGTAAAACCTATTTCCCATGTTTCCCCCCACTTGTTCTGATTTAAGCAGTGTGTGTGTGTGTGTGTGTGTGTGTGTGTGTGTGGCATCTCTACACTGTCCCAGGGACAGTGACCTTCTACAATATTGTTGTCATGTGTGATGTTTTACTGGTGCTTTTTATTCATAGTGGTTTCTTAACAGAAACGATAGGAAGACACACATGAACTGTGTACAAGAAATGAAACGTTGCTGCTGATACGTCGTCGTTTCCACATGCTTTTTGAGTTTCCCTTTCTAACCGAGGGCCAGCAAGCAAACGAGACCTTGCTGGGCCTGCCTGCAGGAGGCAGCTGTTTGCACCGAGCTCTCCCGTCCTGGGGATCGATGGTCCCTGTTGGGTGCTCAGGAGGGAGCGACAGCTGGGCCCCTGCCTCCCACTCGTTTGAAGAGACACTGAGGGAAACGCGGTTTTCTTTTGAGGTGTCACTGGTTGCCTTTTACGGGATGGGAGGCTTCTCTGGGTCCTCTGTCCTTCTGCACCTCTTGTAGCTAGTGCCAGGGCAAGGTGTGCAGGCCTGCACGCCCAGCTAGCGTGAGGGTCTCACCCAGAGCCCGGGCTGCGCCAGGCTGGGCGCACAGGCCTGCGACCAGAAGGGCAATGAGGGGAGGACAGCCGGCCCCGGTCTCGCTGACCCTCTTGGAGATGCCCGCGGCAGGCCCTCCAGCCTGGGTGCCAAGGAGCAGCCTGGCCCAGGCGCCCGGCGTGCCTGTTACGAGGAGGACCGGCAGAGGAACATTTGCACATGGGGCTGTGATAACACTAGTGTTGATTTTTTTTTTTTACAAGTCATCTGAGATGTTTGCAAAGTGAGTTTTATTATTATTTTTTTTTGTAATTCCTTTATCTTTACTTAAAGGTGAATGTGTATTCCTCTGGGAGGAATAGGAAGAAAACAGGAATGTTAATAGCGTCCAACAGAAGACTTCCTCCCTTATTAATATATAACCCTCATGTATTTATGCCTAATGTAAGCTGACTTTTAAAAAGCTTTCTTCTGTTGCATGCCCCATGCAGGCATCTCTATTGTACATGCATGCCTTTCGTCCTGTTTTCCTGTATAAAATTAGTGAACAAAGAACTATTTTTGCCTAGTTCATGTTGCCAAGCAATGCATATTTTTAAAATTTGTCATATATGGAAATAGCATGTTTGTTACATGTAAAAGCTTTACTGATACACAGATATACTAATGTTTGGAGATGCTGTTCTTTGCAAGTGTACAGTTTTCAAATGTTGTTACCAGTGAAACACCCATGTGGTTTAAACTTGCTGCAATGTATTTATTACTCATTTCCTCCCATGTAACTAAGAATCATGGCTATATTTCATATCAACGTTATATTGAAAGTGAAGGGAAATGATTAATACAAGGTTTTGTAACACTGGTGTGTGTGAGTGTCGTGGTTATTTTTTTCCTTTTTGTCAATATGATCGATTAGAAAACAAGAACTGATTCTTAGGAATAAGCCAGCAAGGAAGAATGAGCATGACATCCCTGTAAATTATTCCCACCTGACCATTCTACGCAAACAATGTCTTCATCTAGGGCAGGGGTGGGCAAACTTTTTGACTCGAGGGCCACAATGGGTTCTTAAACTGGACCGGAGGGCCGGATCAAAAGCATGGATGGAGTGTTTGTGTGAACTAATATAAATTCAAAGTAAACATCATTACATAAAAGGGTACGGTCTTTTTTTTTTTAGTTTTATTCATTTCAAACGGGCCGGATCTGGTCCGCGGGCCGTAGTTTGCCCACGGCTGGGCTATGAACTGCTTTTTTTTTAAAGCAGTTTCATGCAGTTTGATCTGCGCCCAAAGTAGCCAATAAATTCATCGCCTGACCAAGGGGCATGTACCTAAACAGAAACTCTAACCCTGTACATCAGCAGTCACCGACTGGCGGTCCATGGACCGCTGGTGGTCCGTGAGGTCTGAAAGGATGGTGACCGCTGCTGTAGATGGTATTGTTTATAACTTGCTCTCCACCCTGAATGCCTTTGAAATCATATTTTACTCTTTACTGCTTAAAGAAACAGCAACCTCCTGGGAGCCTTGGGGCTTGAACTATATAGTACACATAGTGTAAATCTCATTTTAATACTTCTAATCCCACTTTGATATATAAAATATATTAATATAAATTCTAAATAATGTTGGCTAAGCATATGGCTAAAGAGACTAACCTGAGTTTGAAATTTGGCTCCAGCATTCTCCGGCTGTGTGATGTTGGGCTAGGTACTTAACATCTCTGAGCCGTGAGTTTGTTTTTTTTAAAAAATATATATATATTTTATTGATTTTTTACAGAGAGGGAGAGAGAGAGTCAGAAACATCGATGAGAGAGAAACATCGATCAGCTGCCTCCTGCACATCTCCTACTGGGGATGTGCCTGCAACCCAGGTACATGCCCTTGACCGGAATCGAACCCGGGACCCTTCAGTCCACAGGCCGATGATCCATCCACTTAGCCAAACTGGTTTCGGTGTGAGTTTGTTTTTTAGCCTATTTTTACTCAAGGTTTATATAAGTAAATCTCTCATCCAAATAATAATAATAATGTTAAAGACAAGAGAAAACAGAGGCTATAGACGTTATTGCCACCAAAACC